ACTCGTCAAACTCGTCAAACTCGTCAAACACGTCAAACTCGTCAAACTCGTCAAACACGTCAAACTCTCTTATTTGACGAATTTATCAAGTGCGGACCACGACAATGTTAATAAACACCTCGTATAACAAATTTGATACGTAAATAATAATCGGAGCTAACTGAATTTAACACCTTATTTTGTTTAGCAATGCATGTTCCCCCAAACGAAACCCTAATGTTCTATTACACTTTATGTTACACATTGGTCTAGGGTAGGATTTATCATTTTCTCACACGCTCTCCTCACAACAAAAACACGCTCAATACGTCATAATAGACCCTGTACACAACTTTGAACCATCGGAATGTCATTTTGACCACAGGTTGACCGCGTTGACTCGTCAAACTCGTCAAACACGTCAAACACGTCAAACTCGTCAAACTCGTCAAACTCTCTTATTTGACGAATTTATCAAGTGCGGACCACGACAATGTTAATAAACACCTCGTATAACAAATTTGATACGTAAATAATAATCGGAGCTAACTGAATTTAACACCTTATTTTGTTTAGCAATGCATGTTCCCCCAAACGAAACCCTAATGTTCTATTACACTTTATGTTACACATTGGTCTAGGGTAGGATTTATCATTTTCTCACACGCTCTCCTCACAACAAAAACACGCTCAATACGTCATAATAGACCCTGTACACAACTTTGAACCATCGGAATGTCATTTTGACCACAGGTTGACCGCGTTGACTCGTCAAACTCGTCAAACACGTCAAACACGTCAAACTCATCAAACTCGTCAAACTCTCTTATTTGACGAATTTATCAAGTGCGGACCACGACAATGTTAATAAACACCTCGTATAACAAATTTGATACGTAAATAATTATACGAGGTGTTTATTAACATTGTCGTGGTCCGCACTTGATAAATTCGTCAAATAAGAGAGTTTGACGAGTTTGACGAGTTTTGCAATTATTTTTTTTTCGGAGTCTTTTACAATCTTTTTCAACATATTTTTGAAGGATATTTTTTCTCCTTCTTCGTCTTCTCCTTCCTCTTCCTCTATTCTTTCTTCTCCTTCTTCTTCTCTTCCTCCTTCTACTTCTTCTTCTCGTTCTTCTTCTCTTTGTGTCTTTCTTTTCTCTTTCTTCTTTCTCTTCGTCCTACCACCAACATCGATCTCACGAATGTTCTCATAACAAATACTTGACGGGTTCAACCTCAATTGTTGCATCCAACTTTGCACCAACGGATGACTACTTTCATCCTCATGTATGTTAAAAAACATATGTTCCTCTTCCTCATGTAATTGAAGAACACTTCGAATACCCTGAGAACATTTTAACAGATTTGGTATCAGTGATCCGGATTATGGTCAAACTCGTCAAACTCGTCAAATGTCATCTATTATAACTAATGTAATCGATCTATACATACCTGTGAATCCACACCGATCTGTCTAATCGCATTTGCAAGTGTGACATAAAGGCCCGGTTGGATTTGCTTCTTACACATCCTAGGACATGTGGGATCGGCATCCTTCACATCTATATACCATCCATTGGCGCCTAAACTATTCACGCATTCAAAAGGAAGCAACTGCAATATACATACAAACTAATCAATCAAATACTCAATCACAATAAATAAAACAATGATAAAAAAGTAACTCACCATAAGAGGTATTACGAATCCAGGAAAGTGCCACTGAGCCCTCGGTGTAGAACTGCTTACATACAACTTCAGTATATGATCGATTGATCTTTCGAAAGTGTATCTCCCCCAAGGAAACCCTTCACAAAATTCCAGATTGTTGACCATGTCAACTGCATCATTTGGAATCACATCATTGTTCTTGATTCCATGGTCTAATACTCCACCTACAAACTCGTCAACCAGAAGAGTCAAACTCGTCAACCAGAAGAGTCAAACTCGTCAACCAGAAGAGTCAAACTCGTCAACCAGAAGAGTCAAACTCGTCAACCAGAAGAGTCAAACTCGTCAACCAGAAGAGTCAGGCACGCCATTCAGAACAAACCATAGCTGTTTCACTTCTCCTTCCAATTTTAGTGCCCGATGTAAGAGGACTGATGCCGGAACCATCTTCAATGTGTCCTTACATCTAAGATGGAAAATATGCCGAAACTGGGATTCTTTTTTGAAATATGTAAATTCTTCATCCGTCAAGACCTTTTTAAGAGATCTAACAGTCTGATATGGATAACATTTCGTCGTGATCTTAGGAGCCATATGAATGTCCTTAAAATCATACACAAAAGGTACCTGCAAAAACAAATTTAACACTCATTATCAAACACGTCAAACACGTCAAACTCGTCAAACTCGTCAAACTCGTCAAACTCGTCAAACTCCGACTTGTTTGACGAGTTTGAACATTTTCGAGACTCGAATAGTTTGACTTGTTTAACGGGTGCGCTAAGTTTAACTAATATCTAGCATGACCATTAATCTATGTTTTAGTGCATCCGACTGTCGACAATATCATCGTGACTCGATTTCTATCCGTCTTTTTCACAAAACACTGTTTTTCACCCAATCCGAAAACCCTATTTCGATAGTGACAATTTGTCATTCAAACCATAGTTTTTAAAATTTTTATTTCAAACCCTATTCTTAACGAAAACTTAATAGAAAATCTAAAACCGAATCTCAATGTATATCCGAAACCCTAAAAATTTTGATTTTTGCGGAGTTCAAAAACTATACCTGGAGGTCTTTGCAAATAGGGTTCGAAGAGGAGGCCGAAGATGATGAAGATGAAGCCATTCTTCGTACAAGTTTGACGAGTTTGACGAACTCGCACAGAAAGATCGTACAGAAAAATCACAGAGTGAAGAGAAAATGAAGAAGGGGAAGAAGAAACGATACTATGAAGTCTGTCGAAATGGGACAAAAAAAACTGTTTGGTTTTTCAAATTTTTTTGATTTAGTAACTTCCCAATTTTTGATCTTTCTCTTTCAGATGTTGACACGTGTATCATTTAAAAGGGGTAACGGTGTCTTTTCATTCTTTTCCAATTTTTTTTTGAAGGTTTTTTGTTTGAAGGGTATGTCATGTAAGTGAAATCGACATTTAAAGGTATTTTTGTAATATTCCCCTTTCAATCCCCTCATCTTCCGC